GAGTTCTAGGAAATTTTCTATTTTTTAATTTCCTGCCTGAAAATTTTTCACATTTGGAAAGAATCAAAATAAAGGAACACAGAGGAGAAACAAGAGAAAGTCTTCCTGATAATTTAGCATATCACTCACTAGGCTTCCTCCAGGTCTGGCTGTTTGTGTTGGCAACAGAGCCCTGTGTAAACAACTTAGTGGATGTGGGAGAGAACATGCCTGATCTTATCAGCACAAAGGGCTCATCCACTTCCAGAGAAAAACATATATGGTATTTTTATGTCTAACTGTACTAAATGTAATGTGTACTGTTAACCACTCAAATATTATGATCTTCTCTGATGGGGGTAATTTATTATTTTCTTCTTGAAGGAAAGTCATTGCCACTGAATTAATTCTGATTCATAGTGCCCCTATAGGACAGAGGAGAACTGCCCAAAGGTTTTCCAAGGCTGCAATATTTATGGAAAGGGATTGCCACATGTCTCTCCTGTGATGTGGCTGGTGGGTTCAAACTGCTAACCTTTTGGTTAGCAGCCCAGAGCTTAAGCACTGTGCTACCAGGACTCCTCTTGATACGAACAGGTCCCATAAAAACATTTGAAATAACTGTTTGAGGTTAAGAGTTTCTAACACCTAAAAGGGAGCTCTAGTAGTGTAGTACCTAAGGCACTTGACTGCTAACCAGAAGGCTGGCGGTTCAAGCCCACCAGCCACTCCTCGGAAGGAAGGTAGGGCAATCTACTTCCGTAGTGATACCACCTCAGAAACCCAAGGAGGGGTTGCTATGAGTCGAGTCCGACTCGATGGCACATAACAACAACAACAAACAACACCTAAAAAGAGAAAAAATAAAGACCAAAAGAATTAAGACAAAGAAAGATTGTTGTTGTTGTTATGTGCCGTCGAGTAGGACCTGACTCATAGCGACCCCTCCTTGGGTTTCTGAGGCAGTATCACTATGGAAGTAGATTGCTCCATCTTCCTTCCTAGGAGTGGCTGGTAGGTTTGAACCACCAGCCTTCTGGTTAGCAGTCAAGTGCCTTAGGCACTATGCTACCAGAGCTCCTAAAGAAAGATTGTTGTTGTTGTTGTTATGTGCCCGAGTCAGCCCTGACTCATAGCGACCCCTCCTTGGGTTTCCGAGGCAGTATCACTACGGAAGTAGGATTGCCCAACCTTCCTTCCGGGAAAGAAAGATTAGAATATTTAATTTTGTTATTTATTCATTTTTTGTAGACTTCATTTAATCTAAAGTTCTTTTCTCAAAGCAATGTCCCTATAATGCCAGTGATGATTATGCCATTATACAGAATAAGTGATAATTATTCTACCCACAGGCACAGAGCCCCACATTCTGGCCTTAACGGCCACAAGAGCTTTTTATACTATCAATGACTGGGACCAGATGCTGCCTCTCAGATCCAACCAAGAAGTAGGGGGTAATTATTAAAAGAGAATAAACAGAACCATTATTAAAATCAGAAACAGAAGAACAATCCAGCTGGACATGGACCACACAAGTATTCATAAAATTCAAGTAAACCCCTTTGTATATGAAAGGTTAAGGAAAGAGTGTAAGCAAATGTCTGGATATGGCCAAGCAGGCTTGAGTTGTTGTTGTTGTTGTTGTTATGTGCCGTCGAGTCGGCCCCGACTCATAGCGACCCCTCCTTGGGTTTCCGAGGCAGTATCACTACGGAAGTAGGATTGCCCAACCTTCCTTCCGAGGAGTGGCTGGTGGGTTTGAACCACCAGCCTTCTGGTTAGCAGTCAAGTGCTTTAGCCACTATGCTACCAGAGCTCCTTGAGTAGAGAATAAAAAAATGTGTTTTCATTGTGGCTAGAACACAGGATGAGGGGAGGGAGGGGACAGAGAACTCATCAATCCTGTTTGTTTTTCCATCAGGAAATTGGCCCATAAGCAACCCAAATAAAAAGGGCTCCTTGTACCAAGAGACATGGCCAATACATAGTATATGGGTGACCCAGAAGGTGAAGCTCAGATGTTCCAGGACAATTGGCTCTTTTTGACTCTCTTCGTAGTGCCTTCTAAATCCTAAAAGAAGAAAGTAGTAAACAAGAGAGTCTTTTCTTCAACTTTTAAAATCTTTGATGAGAAGGAGAACTCAAAATATCCTTTGAGAGAACTTAAATGTAGTTATCTTGTATTTAGAAAGCCACTCAATACTCTAGTGGTTCTCATATTTTTTAATCTCAGTAGCCCTTTACACATTACAATAATTGGGAACCCCAAAAAGCTTTCAAGAAGTGGCATATGATCTTGAACCAATGGTAATGAAGGAAGAAGTCAAAGCTGCAATGAAAGAACTGGCGAAGAACAAGGCTCCGGGAAT